AGTTATCCATACCTGTGCTGACCCGCCTCCCATAGCACCATGGCCACACAATGCGTCGGACGCGTGCATTTTAAGTTGACTGCACCGTTAGCAGTAACCTATTCTCAACGGGAATAGCCCAGCAATCCTGACCTATTCAATCAATTTCTCTTTACTTCCCAAAGCCATCCCACTGTCTACTTCGAGCAACGGAAACATTTGCAGACAAACTGCAGGTGTCTAGGGCTTTCTGCCTCCAAAAGTCTAGCTGGAACTGCATACGTTAGAAAACGCCCATTCCAATATACAAATTTTCTGTTTACTCGTTTTCTACCCTAGCGGCAAATGCTGCTACCTTTGCTTTTGTAGTCTTTCATCAGATTTGCATTCAGACAACAGCTATTTTAACTACCGCCTTGGCTACTCCTATGCTATTGCTAGAAGGATTTGTATCTACCTAATTTTGGATGTGTGGGGTTCACCTGTTCTGTTGCATGCATATCTCCACAGGTTCTTTAGTCTCCGAGAATCGCACCATTTTCTTGTTGCTAATTATTGACTGCCAACTACTAACTCATTATTAGGGTGACACCAAGAAGACCTTCACATCCTATATGCAATCATTAGTTCCTAGGAGAGGCAGCAAATATCCTGCTCCAGTTGTCTTTATGGGGCAATTTGCATAAACTAACAAGTTATTTAGTAGTAATGACCGTGATTGCCTAAGGTTTACCACCTGCTATTCACAGCGTTCAGTTCCCAAGGGTGGCAACAAATAGCATGCTCCAATTACTGTGGCAACACAAGTCGCACCACTAAAAGGGGCAATCCAATTAATAGTGTAGTATTGTGCAAATTATGGTGTCAAGGGACTGCTGCTTTACAGTTGGAGGAATTCGCAAATGTCTCGATAGGAGTAGTGAAGAAAGGAAATGAGATGAATGACTATCCACATTGCTGATACATATAAGCAGGCAAGTTGACACTTGAAATTGCATTTGATTATTCAGTACTGAGGTGGAAGTAGTGGTATTCATCAGAGGCACAGATCTAAATTAGTGGTCCTTCAAATTCCCGAGCAACAAGTATGGAAATGAAAGGGCACTAGGTCGAAACGGCGTTAGCTTTGCCTCCTTAGCCTCGTTTAAGTAGTATAAGAAGAACTTTAGGAAGAAATTGTTGATCAACACTGCATTTGAGCATCCGTTGTTTCCTAGGCCTGGGGTGGTCGGGTGGAGCCTCTTCCTGAATGTTGTATTACATACGCCCTGACCAAGGCTAATGAGATCCTCAGGGCCCATAGCAATAGCCTGAGCAGGCACAGTAGTATCTGCCTCGGCAACTTTACTGCCATCATTAGATCTGTCCGACTTCGATGTGTCCATCAGATGAGCAATTTACCAAATGAGGAAAACAAGTTTTGGCACTCCTTATATAGTTGTATTAATTTAAACAAAATTATAGAGTAGGTACATCATCTAGGTCATAACTAGGCAGTAAGAGATTAGCCATGGCGCAGAAGCTTAATTTACAAGGAGGTGCTGGTACCAATCCGTCGATGTCGCAGTTGAAAATCTGTTCTCCCAGCTTATGCATTTTACACTTGTCCTTAATGGCAGCTGCATTCACATCTGAGAGACGGATATCGAGTGGCAAATTAGTAGCCACTATTACCGGCAAGCGTTCTAAAAACTCCAAGGAGCTGTATTTAACTTGCAATTCATAGGCCTCGCCTTCTGGGATTTGCCTGATGTCCCGCTGATTAGTAGAACATATGCGCGACTCTTCCATCAGAGTGACCTTCCGATTCGGAAGGTTTTCGTAGGCGAAGGCTGATGCCTCCCGCCAACGCATAACGCTGCCACACTCAAGGAAGGAGGTTATCAGCTTGCACAATAGAAATTTGCCGGTGTTTGTAGGCCCATATAGTACTAGTGAGTTAATTTTCTCATCCTCACAGTTCATTATGGTACGTAGTGTTAAAGCAAAGTCAGCTAGTAGTCTTCAAGTCAGTTCAGGGACTCCGGCTTCACTAAGGAGATCTTTCTAGTCCATAAAACTGCGATGCATAAGATTAATTCGACGTGCAGATTGTAAGACACTTTTTACAACTTAATTGTAACTCGTCTTGTAATCTACCGTCATTTTGAACTTCTAGTCAAGCGAGAACTTGTTGTCCATGTCATTCAAGGAGCGTACCTTTCGCGCTATGATTTCCTGGGCCAAATCAATATATTTTCTGTGCTTGTTCTCTTTCCTGCCCTCCTACGCGTTAACTGCGCATCTTCTATTTTCGCTAGGGATTGAGGTGCACTTGGGCTACCCGACTGCAGTAGTTGCCAATTGTAGATAGCCATCAAAATGG